TGCCTACTTAAGGTCTGTAATTTTTAAATATCCAACCAATTCGCAAAATGTAAAAAGATCAAGCAATTTTATTAAATTGACAAAAATTTTAAAAATGGTTTTAATAACAAATTCAGGCTTTATATTAAATCTCACTTTTAACATTGATCACATTTTCATTCTAAGAACTATATACAATTATAAAGCTATAAAAATGTAAAATTTTGTGTCCCTCACTTTCCCTGTAAAGTACTAAAACAAGTTATTAAAAAAAAAATCCATGTTAAGTAACAACAACAAATACTTCACCATAAGTCAAGAACATACATTACCAAAGTCTCCTAATGTTTCTGTAATGGACTGTCAGCTGAAAAGCAAAMGGAGTTAAAGAACTGCCTATTTTCTGCTAGAAACTCGGATTGAAAGGACTGAACTCCAACAAAACTAGCCTAAGGCTGGGGACGTGGCTCAGTAGTTGTGTCTGTCTGGCATACTTGAGGCCCTGGGTTTGATTCCCAGGACCATGCACAGAATAACCTATGTCTTGGGTGAGAAGTAAGGGAACAAAGTCTTACACTACTCTATTATCCCAATTTACTTCAATTCACTTTGGGAGGGAGGGTACTGAGGATTGAACCCAGGGGTCCTATAACTGGAACTACATCTGCACCTCTTTTTAGTTTGAAAGTGTTTCAAAAAAGTTTGCCAAATTTGTGATCCTCCTGCCTCAGTGTTCCTGGCAGCTGGGATTACAAGCATGTGCCTGCCACTAAAGCCATTCACTTGTTCTTGACAAACTAAAGCACAGGTCGTGACAGTAGCAATTTGTGAAATAATCATATAATGTTCATATTCCTGCCCACCTGATAACCATTTGCCTGAAGCCAATAAAAGTACATGTTTGTTTTTAATATCTGAAGGTGAAATTAATAAAATTTCCCTCAATTAACTAATGTATAATGTGTTTTCATTCTGATATATTCTGCCTGGAGCAATAATAAAGTTAGATGAACAAACTTAATACTTTAAATGTAAGTGGTTATTTTATTTATTTATTTTAATGTGTTGCTGAGGACTGAACCCAGTCAGTGTCTCACATGTGCTAGGCATGTGCTAGGAAAGCGCTCTACCACTGAGCTACAACCCCAGCCTCTAAATGTAAGTCATTATTGTTTTAACTTTTAATAAATTATTCAAACTTAAGATAAAATGCAAACTGAATAGGTAACCTATGTATAGAAGGTAGGCTAACCTGAACAGCACAGAGTGCAAGTTTCAAGTAAAACAATGTTATAATCCAAAGCAATCTGTTATTTATTGTAACACCAGCAAAGGTATGAACTTGTCTGTACAATATTTTGATTCTTTATCTATTGCTACTTTCTGGTAAGAAACAAAAGGTAACTACTTGGTAAATACATTTATAAATACTAAACTACCTGACTTTTTAACTTCTTTACATGGAAGTCAATTTCAAATTAATTCAGAACTGGCCCCAAAACTTTTGTGCTATAAAGTTAATCATGTGAATCTAGAAACATAGGAACACTTACTTTATAAAACCAAGGAGTATACTGTGTTTAAAATAATCTAAAATGACAACTGTACAAGAAAAACAAACTCAAGTTCTTGAAAGGTAAGAAAGGGGTCTTTGCATATAGATAGGATTCTAGTAGGATAAATGCAAAAAAAAAAAAAATCTGAATGTAGACAGACTTATCCACGAAAGACCCTAAACTACCCTAAGTATACTTTTCAATAAATCACAATCACTGGTTATTCACCTACAGTGATCCAGTTAATACTCTAAGGGGGCACCTTTCCATTCCAATTTCAAATGTTAGCCCAAGTCTCTGGTGAGATCTAAAATTCATTTTGAACCTCGTTCTCTTAATTAATTAATTGTAATGATAATCTCCAAGATCTTCCTCCACAAAAAAAAAAAAAAAAAACGGAAAAAGATTCAAGGTCTACTATCAGAGTCTAACTTGGGCTAGCGGGAATTTCCCATCACACTGTTATGACTTTCAAATCTGAGCCGGAACACTGTCCATGCTCATTTGCATTTACTCATTCTTTACTTTTTCCAGAAGCTGATCGGTCACATCTATCCACTGTACAGATACGGGTAGGGAAGTAGCCTTTCCTTTGTCATAATCCCACTTCCAACCCAGGTCTCCCTGGAAAGTCCTAGGACTGGCCTGTACAAATACGCTACTGCAGTCTTCTCTGCAGTTGGCCTTTCAAAGCTGAGGCTGACCTCAGGGGAAAGTGCTCAAGGGGCAAAGGTGCCCAGAGGGCGCACAAAGCTGAAGCAAAGAATAAGCTGGGTTGGAACCCAAAGAACACAGATCCAAATACCTTCCCCTTACCGTCTGAGTGCCTTTGACCAGGTCACTCCACTTCTGTGCCCTAGTCGCGATGAAATGAGAAAAATCGCACCTACCCCATTAGGTCGTTGTGAGAATCACATGAAGTAGATAAGTGGCTCAGCACAGTGYCTGGCACAGTGAGGGATTAGAATCCTAGGTGCTATTGTCACTAACTCTCCAAGCACTCGCTGTTCCCTCAACGCTAACTCCTGTAAAGCCAGAAAGCGGCACTTCTGCTTTGCGGGCCTAAAGAGTTATCACGCTTCAGTATTGTCCCCATTCCCAGATTAAAAAAAAAAAAAAAAAAAAAAAAAAAAACCTCCAGATCCCCACCAAGCCGTAGCTCGGTGACCAAGCGAGGAAAGACTACCCGGCGCGTGGCGGAAAAAGCAGGCGGGAAAAGCTGGCCAGCGGGCCGCGCAAAGCCCCCAGGCCGCGAGATCGCCAAGGGGCCCGGGCGGCGGCAGCTGCTCGCTCCCGCCCCGCGTGGCCGTTGGACGCGGCACGCGCACGCGGTGGACAGGGCCACGCGCTCGAGGCAGCGGGGGTTGGGGAGCCGCCGCGCACTCGTCGTCCGCTGCGCGCGCCGGCGGCCGTTGGGGTGGGGGTGGGGGTATGCGGCTCGCGGGCGCTTCTCTGACTTCTCCTCTCTTGCACCACCGCTCCAACTGGTCCTCGTCCTTAGGCCGCACTGTCCCGCCCACACCCCAGCGTACCTGCGCGGCTGAGCGGGAGAGGAACAAGCTTTGCCCCACAGCACAGAAGGTGGCAGGAATCCCTCACGCAAGTGCGTCCGCACACACGCGTGCTCCGCCGCCGGTCTATATAACCGTGATTCAACCTAACTTGTTGCGGCCAGGTCGGGGTAGCGGAGGACCAATCCCGACTGCGTCCTCTGAGCTCTTCGAATAGCAATTGGGTACTGACTCAGGATGAAGGCGTGGCTCTTGATTGGCTTTGACTCATGCCTATAAGACCGTGAAGATCCTGCTTCCCTATAAGGGATTGGCACTAAGAAAGGCCAATAACTTGAAAGCACACAGGGAAGGAGGGTGGGCAGTTCTTTGACCGATATCCAGGGTAGCCAATAACTACAGGGGACTGCTCTCATTGGTTAAAATGTCTTCCCCTGGGCGGAGATCCGTTTTCCTTGCAGGAGCGGTTGCTCCACAAGGTGGGACCCGTGTACTTTGGGGAAGTAAACCCCAAGCAACTAGGAGGTGGGCACTGGGGAAGCCAAGAAAGGCCCAGGCCAATCACAATGCCGGAAGGAGCTGATTGACACGGGGGCTGGACTGTTCCAACAAGGCAGAGACCCAGCGCCGCCCGGACCCTCTGTGGCGGTTATGAGGCTGAGCCCGGTTTCTGTCCCCTTTCCTTTCTTAACTTCCCTTGGGTCCGGACCCTGAGACTCCTCTCCCGCCTTTCCGCACAGTTTGGTACCCAAGGATCCAAATGGCAAAGTTTCTGGTTTTTTTAATTTATCATCCTTATTACAACTTTTTTCATTTCCGTGCGCTAAAGAGTACTTGCTGGCTCTTACCATTAGTCAGCACTATTGTTGGGCAACTGTTAGAGGAAAGCCAAAGAAAAGAATAGCTGTGTGTATGCAAGGTCCTGTAAAAAGGTCACACGCGAAAGCTATTGAGTTTGAGAATTTGCATTTCCATCCGGTTGCTTCTTGGCAGGTGCTGCTGCAGGTTGGCCCCATGGTCGATTCCTGGATCTTTCAGTGAAGTTTGGGGGGGTTGTTACTGAAAAAAATGGCAGTTTTTATATTCTCCGATCAAGTTTTGGCCTCCATGCAACATCCTGTGCGTCACCACCATTGTCATTCCGTTTTCTTATTGCTGTGGGTGAGGGGGACTATTACTTCGTGGCGTTGTGCTTTTAAAAGGTAACTTGCCAAGTCCTATGCGGACATCCTAAAGATCTTCCCGAAACACTTCACCGGTTAAGGAGCCCCAACCCGCTTCTGTCCGGTCTCGGTATTTTGCTGGGCCCTCTGTTGGTCACCAGGAGTATTTTATGTGGAAATAGCTTTGGTTCCCACGTGCTAGACATGGACACGCCCCGGCCCCGTTGTCTTTCCAAACATCTGACGRTGCGGGAGGGTCACCGGTTAAGTTTTGCCGCAATTTTTTTAAAAATGAAGTAACATGGAGCGTACCTGTTGGCACAAAAGTAGAGGAGGCGCTCCAACCCAGCAGCAACCTGGTGCGACCCGGGCGATGCCCACTCGCGTCCTTCCAGGGACCAGACCTGAGTCCGAAACTCACGCGGGGAGGCCCAGGAGCGACAAGAAGAGTTCCTTTGGCCAGTAAGGCCGCACTTCCGCATCATTCCGGCTCATTCGGGCATTGAGATCTCCTGGTGCTGGGGTCGGAGTTGGTTGAAATGCAGTCGGGGTCACCCATTCAACAGTCAGACGCTGCGCTGACCCCGGAAACAGGCACCACCGAGTTATGCAAGCAGAGAGGAAACTGCGCACAGAGACACGCCGCTGAAAGTTTTCTACAGTTAAAGAAACTCCGAGATAGTGCTAGCCATGCCAAGGAACTTGGGCTTTAATCTGAGGGCAATGGGGAACACCTGAAAAGTTTCTTAAAAGGATGGACTAAGAGATTGCAACTTTTTTTTTTTTCTAGATATTGTTTCCTGCATGGTTTGTCTCCTCTGAGAAGTCGTAGGAATATGCAGGTGCAGACACAAAGCCCAGCTTCATGTCCAACATTGTGGAAAGGGACTGTACATCATGAGGCAGAGCCCTATGCTCCCCTATGCCACCTGGACAGAGCCCGGGGAGAGTGACCTCCTGGGTTATCCACGTTGGAAGAGATTGCAACTTTTTTCCCCCAGAAAACTGTAAAACTTATTGATAATTTTAGCAATCAAGGTTTAATATCAAGACTGCACGCGTGGCTCTAGATTGTCTTATTTTCAACCCATAATGGTACTTAAATTGCTTCTGGCATTTTAAGGGGTTCTAGATTTGATAGAATCCATGCTTGGCATCAGAACCATCTCCACCTTGCACTTTTGGCCTCACACAGTTTCTGGAAATCAGCTTCCAGGTCAAGCCCTTGAAGCTCAGATTTCAGATGCTCCTTTGCTTTCTCCCTCTTGACCAGGTGTGATACCCTGACTTTCAGGTGGGGTGGATCCTCTTGTTGAGGTTGTTCATCACTGAACTGGGAAACGATAAGCTCAAGCAGATGAGAAAACTCTACATATAGATTTGGATCTCAATATTATTTTTTAACTGATGTTTCACATGAGTCTCAGTTGGCTAAAAACAATGAAGATACCTGGGGCACTAACTCTCCTGGCGTATCGCTAAGCACAGAAAGCAATGGCATGATGCATGCACAGTGGAGACTTCAGTTTCCTAGATGACTCCCGGAACTGTAAGGCTAATGAGTGCAGATGGGCAAAATTTTTTACATTTATGGATTGGTAATATAACCCAAGTGGCCTGAATTATGTACATTCCTCCAAAACAACAATACTTTTTAGCCACATTTGTTGACAAACACAGGTACCAAGGTGTTCTGCAGCATTATCAGAATGCTTGAAAACAAATTTTCATCAATTGGCAAATTTTTAGGTGATATGCATATAATATTAAATGCAGCAGTTTTAAAAATAAGGTGGGTTCTGTCTCCAGTTGTTAGTTGGATTAACAATTGTTAAAATTGAGATTTCTGTAGGTTAAAATAGATATATAAGTGCATAGAGAAAGTGCTACATTTAAAATAAGAGTCATTAACCTCTAGGGAATCCACTAGATTGGGAGCAATGAAGCTAATGTGAAGGAAGGGGGAATGGATAGTGGGGGAGAAGTTGGCAGGACATCTCAGATGTCTATTGCTGTCTCCCAGAGGAGGGAAAGCAAGTTGGCATTCTCCTGTGGTAGTTTCCCCACCCAGATTAGAAACCCTTGAGCCCCAGATGCTGGATACTTAGTACTTGGTAAATGTTCCATGAATAACTTACCACTAATGAATTGTCTAAAGCAGTRGTTGGAGTAGGGGTGGGGGTCATGGCCACAACTGGGTAGGGGGGCTATTGGCATTTACCAGATAGAGGCCAGGTATGCACAGGAGAGTGACCCCATAACAACAAAAAAAAATTATCCACCCAAAAAATCAACAGTGCTGTGGCTAAGAAACCCTAGTCAAGTTATCTTAGCCTTCTAAGGGAAAGTCCCTGGCCTCTTTCTGGTCTTTTATCTCCACCACAAAGCAAAATCTGCAAACCCCTGCACAACGCTACTTCACCTTGCTCTTTCTGCGGGTTCTTCTCAAATCTCAAGAGAATGGGGGCGGGGGGCAGGGGGAAATATGGGCAAGACCTCAGAAGATAGTATGACAGGTAGTGAATGGGAAATATTAGGTAAGAAATTGTCTGATCAGATTAACCCAACATAGTAAATCATTCATGAAGGGTGATTAAAAATACTCACTGCAGTATTCTTTGTAGTAGAAAGAGACTGGAAATAGCTCAAATGTCTGACTACACAGGGCAATTAGAAACAATACTACAATGCGTATATTTGCAGGGGATTCTCATGCAATCATATGGAAAATGAGAGCAGATCTACATGTTAAGTTATAGAATGATCTCCAGAAGATACTAAGAAARCAAAGTGCAGAATATTAGGGAGAGAATACCTAATAGCATTTGAGTAAAAAGGGGTAGAGGGATGCCATTTTCTATTAAGACATGGGTATTGCTGTAGTTATATGTATACATTCCTGTATGGTTTTGCTGTATATGCATAAGTCACAAGAAACTGTTAAAGATTCCTAACAGGGAGCTAGGACAGGAAAAAGGCTGTTTTCATTCTGTACTCTTTGGTAATGTATGATTTATTTTTAATGTGTCTATTAGTTTTCATAAAAATTAATGTTAATTACAGATTATGAATAACATAAGGAACTACAATAGACAGATTTTGATCTTTAAACAGGATAGAATACTCTATTACCTCTTGTGGGTGGGTACGTGAAGGGTCTTGAAAATGAGGCATCAAAGTTGTAATCTGCCTCTTCTGGACTGCTAACCTCTTTTCCTCTTGCTTCTTCCCAAAGATCCAAAGAGAACTTGAAGCTGCACCTGTACTCCCAACTGCTGGGGAGGCTGAGGCCAGTGCTGCAGCCAACCTCTGCCACATAGTGAGAACCTATCTCTTAACTTGGGGGGGGGGTGTGCTCTCAAAGAGAAGTTTACTGGCTTAGAAATTCATGCCTAATTGAATTTCCCCCTCTGGCTTTGACTGTCTGCAAACACATATCCTCAAACTGTGGGGCACTGACCATGAGCCAGGCTTCTTGCTAGTATTTTTCTCAAGGAAAAAACCTCATTTAATATTCACAAGCCCCTCTTTTCCATTTCTCAAGTACAGAAACAAATTCAAAGATGTTAACTTGCCCAAGATCACACAACTAGGCCTAGAAGCTACAACTCTGATTTTTTTTTTTTTTAAAGAGAGAGAGAGAGAGAATTTTTAATATTTATTTTTTTAGTTCTCGGTGGACACAACGTCTTTGTTGGTATGTGGTGCTGAGGATCAAACCCAGGCCGCACGCATGCCAGGCAAGCGCGGTACCGCTTGAGCCACATCCCCAGCCCCTACAATTCTGATTTCCAAGTCCATGTTATTTTACCCACTTGTTAATACTGCCCAGAAGGAGGATAAAGCCCTGACTACAGGGACATTGTCTCCTGGGAAACTCCTGAAAGGTTGGGATTATTTTTTCCCCCTTAGGCATGGCATCAGGTAATCCTACAGAGACAGATTTCCAAGTGGTTTGAAAGTTATGGAGTCCAAGACAAAGTCCTTTGCATATTTGGCACATATACACCTTTAAGAGTCCTTACTTCCTGTGGCTTAGACAAGGCTAAATAACATTGTGTCAAACACTACTACATGTCAGAGTGCCGGTCTGTTTTTCCATTCATCCTCACAAAAAACAACTCCAGTTGAGAAAGTTTTGATGACTAGCTCAAGATTACATAGCTTAGAAGTGGTGGAACTGGTATTTAGCATCAGGTTTTTTTGGTTGTTGTTGTTTTTAAAGACTACTCCCGGAGGAAGAAGGGGAGAGGKCTTCCCTCTTTTTTATTTATTTTTTAAGAGAGTAGATGGACACAACACAATGCCTTTATTTTTATGTGGTGCAACCTGGGTTGCGTCCGTGCTAGGTGAGTGCTCTACCGCTGAGCCACAATCCCAGACCTCAGCATCAGGTTTTTATCACTATAAATTTGAAGCCCAGTCAGGCACAGTGGCTCACATCTGTAATCCCAAAGACTAAGGAGGCTGAGTCAGGAGGATGGAAAATTTGAGACCAACCTCAGCAACTGGGTGAGACCCTGTCTCAAAGTACAAAATAAAAAAGGGCTGAAGATGTGGCTCAGTGGTAGAGTGCTATATATATGCTCATTCCATCAAATTTTGAAAAATGATTACTAATATCAAATGTTAGCAAAAGTGCAGGGAAATAATTATTATGGTTAATATATAATGTAAATTGACATGGGCTTTCAGAGAGCAATTTGAAAGCATCTATTAAGTTTTTTGTATGTGTGGTATTGGGGCTCAAAGCCTTGCTTTGAGCATACTAATCATGTGCTCTACCATTGAACTACACCCCAGACCTCTGAAAATTTTAAATCCACCTATTGTAGGAAATAGAAATGCTACTTTTTGGTGTTCATTCTGAAGAAACTCTCCCACACATATAGAGAGAACAAAGATAGCATTGTTTGTAATTTTTAAAATAATCTAAAACAGGGAAATAATGTCAACAAGGGAATAGCTAAATTTGCTATATTGTTTATGCAGCAATTGAAAGATTAATCTAGTTTAAATATATGCATAGGGGCTGTGATTGTAGCTCAATGGTACAGCACTTGCCTCTCACATGTGGAGTACTGAGTTCCATCCTCAGCACCACGTAAGAATAAAGGTATTATATCCATCTACAACTAAAAAATAAAAAAAACATATGCATATCCATGTTTATGTATATTCATATACCTAGAAAATATATGTAACATTATATACAAAACATGAATCTCACCAGGTTCACACCTATAATCCCAACCACTCAGGAGGTTGTAGAAGGAAAAACACAAGTTTAAGGCCAGTCTGTGTGACTTAGTAAAATAATGTCTTAAAATTGAAGAAAAAAATGTTATAGGAAGCTGTTGTTTTAAACTAAACTACTGCCCTGGGCCCCAACAGACCAGGTTAAAAAAAAAAATGGATCCCCTTGGGCTGGGGATGTGGCTCAAGCGGTAGCGCGATCGCCATGCGTGCGGCCCGGGTTCGATCCTCAGCACCACATACAAAGATGTTGTGTCTACTAAAAACTAAAAAATATTAAAATTCTCTCTCTTTGAAAAAAAAAAAATGGACCCACTCATGCTAAAGTTCCAGTTACCAAGTTTATCTGACCTTCCAGAGAAATCAGGATTTGAGATAATAGCCAAATTTCTTCTMTTAGCCTGTTTCAATTGTCATGATAATRAGATTCCCTCTGCCTTAATCCTTTCACACACCAAACAAGGTAACCTGAAGCAATCTGGTGTTAACTGACCCATTCTTTTTCATTGCTCTGTTTCCCTGTGCCCATCTTACTTGGAAAGTAACTTTGAAATGATTCATCTGCTTTTTGGTTTTTGTTTGTTTTCTACAGGTCTTTCCTATCTTTAAAAGCAAACTCTTGGGGCTGGGGATGTGGCTCAAGCGGTAGCGCGCTCGCCTGGCATGCCTGCGGCCCTGGTTCGATCCTCAGCACCACATACCAACAAAGATGTTGTGTC